AGGAGTTTAGAGAAGGTGACTCTCTAATATCCTTGGGCAAAGAGTTCCAGAGCTTGGGGGCATAGCAGGAGAAGGATTAATACACGCAGTTGTGTGAATGGAGGCTCTTCGTCCATGTCTTGTAGGTCAGTCCACCCCTACGAAGTGGCCGAAGTCATCAGCCTCCCCATTGACCAGGGCAACCCCCCCTATCTGAAGTGGCTGGGAGAGGCTGTACCAGAGTGAGGCCGGCAGCTGCTGCCACCTGCTGGACAGAACGCCGAACTGCAGGATCCCGCAGCACTTCCGCAGTGCCCGTGCAGCACATTACACATGTGACAAACGGAAAATAAACTGGAGTCATTTGATAAGACATCCGAGTATTTCTTTCTGATTTCAAAGTTAGGTGGATGTAACACTTGAATCGTAGGCTGTGCTGGTCGTTCTTCAACAGGAGTATGTTGTCATGAATGAGTCTGAAGCCAGTGCCACACACCTATTTGATTAAGAGACCAGTTGGATCAGGATGGTTTCCTATGCCTGTACAGTTCCTTGGTAAGACTAGCGCATTTCAAGAAGAAACACGCAAAATTCTGACTCCTTTAAACCAACTTGTTACCATCCTCGTTCCTTAATAAAAAAAAAAACCCTGCGTGTTAATAAAAAACATGTTTTGAGTGTGAAGTACTGCAACTTGACGGAGTCTTCCTGTTCACGAGTCAGGACTGAACAGCGCGCTGGGCTCGTAGGTTGGACTTTTACTTTTTCGCTCCTTTCTCTACGGAGAGATACGGAATAGACGCTCAAGCTTCAACTGGAAGCGCTGTGATTGGAGAGAAGCAGGGAGACGAATGGAGCTCTGTGATTGGACAGGAGCAGGGAGACGAATGAAGCGATGTGATTGGACAGAAGCAGGGAGAGCGAGGGAGCGCTGTGATTGGACAGGAGCAGGGAGACGAATGGAGCGCTGTGATTGGACAGAAGCAGGGAGACCGAGGGAGCGCTGTGATTGGACAGAAAGGGAGACGAATGGAGCGCTGTGATTGGACAGAAGCAGGGAGACAAAGGGAGCGATGTGATTGGACAGAAACAGGGTGACGACGAGAGCGCTGTGATTGGACAGAAGCAGGGACACGGGGAAGCTCTGTGATTGGACAGAAGCAGCGGGTCTGAGGGTTGTGATTGGATGAAAAATCTCAGCCGCTGTCGGAGTGATTGTTTTGGCTGAGAAAACGCTTGAGGGATAAATTTTGCTGCATCGAAGGTAGAGAATCTCAGGTTTTCTGGTCTCGCAAGACAGTTGACTTTAGTTCTGTCTGAGTTCTGAATTAAAATAACAGGTCTCAGGTTTGTTGTAAAGGCGATATTTTTCTCTTAGTAGTTAACAAGTGTGAAAGGATTCGTAGTTGTTCCCACCTATGCCGGTTCCTCATAAACATCTATATCGAGCTGCTTGGATAGGAACAGTGGAGCAACTCCACTCAACATTCAAATTAACGTTGGGAATGTAAATAATGTATGATTTTTACTGATTAAAGATGTTTACTCTTTTACTGCCCGTGTCACGCAATACCGCGGGCTGTAGTGATTACTCCTGCACATCTACAGCGAAGGGGTGACGCGCGAAGGCCGCCGGGATTGGGGAGCCGTGCCGTCGTCAGTTCCGGTGGGGACGCGCTCGTGCGACGATTCGGGGTGGGAAGCCGCGCGCGGAGGGCGGCGTGAGGCGCTCGAGGGCCGAGAGCGGGATCCGCCTGCGGTTCGTCAGAACTAAAAATCAGACCGTTACCGAGCTGTAAAAGATAAAAAAAAATAATGACCGAGAGACTTAACAACAAGGCATCGGATCTCCAGCCCCTGAAGTGTCAAAACCGTACTTGAAAACCGGGAGGTTTAAGCGTTTTCCATTCCCACGGGGTCGGAAGACCAGTGTCGGTACAACAGGATCGCGAGTCTGATTATTCGCTTGTAAGCAACGACTTTAAACGAGCAGGTAATCTTTTATCAGCTTTTTTTTTTTCTCTGAAAGATGACTACGTTGTAGTCTCACTAAACGATGAAGTAAAGGAAACGTTTGGTTTGTGTTTTTTTTACTTGCTTACTGAAGACTACTCTGTCGAGTAAGCGCCTCTGTAGAGACACCCCGGGAGGTCTTTTCAACACGCTTTTCAAAAGAAGCGGGAAAAAAAAAGACCACGAACTACACAAGCTGGTCAGACGCTGTTAAATTCATCCCCCGCCCTGTTTGTGTGAGTGTGCGCGGCTCTCGCCTCATGCTCTCCTGGGTTCAACAGGAGTTAGTTTAAAAAGTAGTCGAAACCGTCTGTTCGCTGCAGAAGAGGAGTGAAATCTGATGCGTCTAAGACGACGGTTAGCTCAGATTCAACAAGAAGCCTCTTTTGGTTGGATACCTGCAGCCCTCCACCACCTTTATAGGTCACTCTTAATCCTCCGTGCGTGTAGGCCTGGCAGCTGCTGTAACAGAGACCAGAGGTCTGCAGCCTCCAGGTTTCACAGAATCACCTTCGAAAGTGGGGTGGCACATGTGGTCAGCTCTGCTGCCTCTCAGCGCTGGGGCCCTGGGTTCAATTCCTGGGGTGCTGTCGGTGGGGAGTCTGCATGTTCGCTGCGTTTTCACACAGGTTTCCTCCCACAGTCCAGAGACATGCTGGTGGGTTAATTGGCTTTTGGGAAAATTGGCCCTGGGGTGAGTGTGTGTCTGTGTGTGCCCTGCGATGGACTGGTGTCCCGTCCAGGGTGTGTGTCTGTGTGTGTCCTATGATGGACTGGTTTCCTGTCCAGGGTGTGTGTGATGGACTGGTGTCCTGTCCAGGGTGTGTGTGTCTGTGAGTGTTCTGTGATGGACTGGTGTCCTGGCCAGGGTGTGTGACTGTGTGTGTCCTATGATGGACTGGTGTCCTTGCCAGGCTGTGTGAGTGTGTGTGTCCTGGGATGGACTGGTGTCCTGTCTGGGGTGTGTGTGTCTGTGTGTGTCCTGGGATGGACTGGTGTCCTGTCTGGGGTGTGTGTGTCTGTGTGTGTCCTGGGATGGACTGGTGTCCTGTCTGGGGTGTGTGTGTCTGTGTGTGTCCTGGGATGGACTGTTGTCCTGTCCAGGGTGTGTCCTGCCTTGTGTCCGTTGCATGCTGGGACAGACAACAGCTCCCCCCCGGATAAAGAGGTTGGGAAACGGACTGAACCCCGGGGCAACAACGAGACGCTCAACTGTTCCGATCTCTCTGGGCCCCACGCAGGTCCGCATGGGCGTCACGCGGGCGAAGAGGAGGAGCCCGCGGTGGAGGGGGAGGAGCGACTCGCCGCGGTGGGGGCGAGGCCGCTGGCCCGGCTTTGCGCCACGGAGGAGGGGTGAGACCTCCGCCGGGGGTCGGGGGTCGGGGGCTGCCGTCTGGGAATTCCAGCCGTGTCGAGAACAGGCTCCGTTTTGTTCCGTTGTTCTCTCTGATCCTGTCCTGCTGCCCGTGCGTCTGCATCGAACCAAGAGCCGGGTGATGTCACTGGGTCGCAGGCTTGATGCCGGCGTTGCCTGCAAAACAATTTGCAACCAAACATGGATTAATTGCTTTAATTGACTTGTCCTGATACTTTAATAAGGATCCCAATACTGGTCACCTGAAATGGAGGGAGGGAGGGAGGGAGGGGGGGTTGGGTTGAGCACAAAAAGTGCTGTTATTCTGAAAAAGTACAACATGTATTGGAAGCACAGAAATACATAAATAAGTTCAGTGTGAGAAAGTGTTTCTTTCTCCATTTTCATATCCATCTTTTGTTTTCACATTCGAATTGCTTGAATACGCAGCAAAAACAGCAGTTTTGAATTTGCTGTCCCAACACCCACAGAGGGCACTGTTTGTATTTAGGAAAAGGTGACTCGGTGTTGTCCGGCTTGGACGTGCGTCCTTGTGTTTAGTCGTGAATGGGGGCGCGGAAAGGCTGATGGCCGAGACGTGTGGGGAAAGGAGAGTTAATTCCTCGCTGTCCTGCCCATTGTTCTGGGTCTCTGGGCAGGTCGGAAGGGGGTTTTCTGCGCGGCCCAGCAGGAAGCGAAGCAGAAACTGCAGCTCCCTCCCATCGACGAGTCGTCCTCCTCGCAGCAGGAGTGGGTATCTCTGTCCCTCGCCGTCTCTGAGTCTCTGTCCCTCGCCGTCTCTGTCCCTCGCCGTCTAGAGAATCCCTGCTAGAGCATAAAGAATTCACATGCCTCCAATTATACCCACCGTATATCGGGTATACGGTTAGAAATCGCATACAAGTTGAATAATTATTTCGCTAATTGGACCGCTCGGTCGAATACCGATGTTCACCAGTTTTTCGTAACCCCCCGATTTGTAACAGTATCATTTTTTCAGTTGCTTTCAACAAAAGGATCCTTAAACGTCCCTGTTGTGCTGTGTGAAGTGTAAATGCAGGCCGCAGTCATACAGTGTAAATTAACGCATTTGTAAATAATTCTCATTCTCCAGATTCCTCATCCAGTCAGAGAAATCCCGAGGGCTGTCCAGACCGTCTCCTCAAAAAGTAAGTGCCTTTTACTAATCAATCACTTAAAGTCCGGTCTTTTAACAAGGGGATATTCCGACTGTGATCTGCT